AAGTAGGTCTAGGGGCGAGAAGTCAAGAGCAAGGTTTTGCAGCCAGCTGTGGCGGACACATCTGGCGTTTGCCCCGGCTTACCTCGTGGGTCCACCTTGTCCTGGGCTGGAGGAAGCAGGCTCTAATGAGAGGCAGCTGTGGCCAGGCGGCCGGCTCACATTTGTTCTGCTTTCAGCATCAAAGGCCTGAGAAGAGGTTGTCCAGCCCTGAAGGCCATGGCCATCCATCTTGGAGGCTACCCTGCCAGGAAGCCAGGTCCCTGTGGCCAGCGTCTGTTCACTCATGTGCAGGCACCCCCCCTCCCCACCCCTCAGCACAATTTCAGGGCTGCAGCGTTGGAAACTTCCCCTCCCACCAAGCCCTCATCCCTGCCCAGGGAGATCAACCACCTGAGATGAAGAGGGTGCTGAGAAAGCAGAGAGGGGGAGGCCCACAGGGACAAGGCTGACTGTCCCCAAAGTGGGCCCCAAGCACGTTAAATTCTACTTAATAACAAAGGAAGGGAGCCATTTAGAAAGATGGTGAGAAGCAGAACTCTGACATCACCCACCTGCATTATAGCCCAGATCTGCCTCTCCCAGCTCCTCTGCAAAAACTAGGGAGAAATAATACCTAATATAAGGTAATTGCGAGGCCTAAATGAGGTGTAATATATGGGAAGTTCTTAGCACAGTGCTTGTCACTTAATATGTTCTTGCTCAGCCTCTTATTACTACTACTGTTATTCTTATTATTTGAGGCTAATCATCTTCTATTAAAATTTTACATTTAAAATGTTCACACTAACAAATCAACAAAAGCTCAAACTTTTGCATTGATCTTTTGCTTAGGTTAGAAATTTAAGCAGTTAGAGTATGATACATTCTCAAAATTAGCATTAAAAATGTTTATATCCAAACCATGTGTTGGTGAGGAAAGATCACTTGCTGCAGTCGGCAGGCCTGGAATTCTAATCTCCTCTGTGCTGTTTAATAGCTGTGGGACTCTGGGCAAGTTACCGTACCTCTCTGAGGCTCTAAATCAGGGACAGGATGATAGGACTACAGAACTTGGCCCAAGACTTGGCTCATGGTGAAAACATAATAATTGATAGACATTGTGGTAGATAGATGGCATTATGCTTCCTCTCCCTTCCCCCACTGCCAAGTTCTTTACCCCCCCCCCCATGCTCTACCTTTTCAGTGTCCCTCCTCTCTGGCCTTGGCTTGCTTTGACCAATGGCATGGTAGCAGAGGTGACACCAGCACGTACTTCCACAGCACTTGCATGTTTCCACTTCCTGTCTCTTGCTTCTCTGCACCTGCCAGAAGGCTGTCCAGGATATCCTGTTGGGTGATATGATCTGTGCCACAGAGCTGAGTCAGCCCAGGCATCTCAGACGAAGCCATCCCGGATCAGCGGAGAGCCAGCCAGCTCCAGACATGTGCGCAGATCCACCAGGACGGAGCTGCCCAGACACCGATGGCTGGCTGCCGATGCACGAGTGAGTCCAGCCCAGGACAGCCAAACCCAGCCCATATCAGCAGAGCCCTAAGGACCCTTGAGCCAAATACACATTTATTATTATATGCATCCAAGTCTCTGTGGCTGTAACTCAGCATTATTGTGGCAATAGATAATGGATACAGATATTAACATGCCATATTATTGAGGTTTGCTTATGAAACACAGACTCTTTCACATGGATCTCAGGGCCTCTGGGACCCAAAGATATTGACATTTGTAATGAGAGTTCACCCTTGTCCTAATCCCCGTAAGATTATTTGACAGCGAACCCATAAATCTCTAAATCTGAAATATAGTAAATAAGCCTCATTGTTTTGTTTTGTTTGAGGTAAAGAGCCAAGAATAAAAATGCCAGAAACATTATTATGTTGGCCAGACAGAAGAAGTGAGAGGGGAAAACAGGCCAGGTCACCCTCTCTTTCCGTCTTCTAGCCCAAATTTTGTAGACTTCTTGGCCCCAGAATCATAAATTAGAGCCCTCTCCCGAGGACCTTCTTCGCTGATATACAAATCTGATTATAAGCATCTTAATATGATGGCTCTATCCACATCCTGGGCAATTGTTCATTGTTGAAATGAAAAATCTCCTTATGAGTTTGCAATGCACTTAGCTCCCACCAGCCTATTGTGAGGGAGGGCAGGGCAGGGGTTGAGCGCATGGCTTGGTGTCAGGTGCCCTGGACTTGAATCCTAGCCTTCTGCTCTCCAGCTGTGCAACCACAGGAAGTCACAGAACATCTCTGTGAGGCTTTTACAGGGGCTCCTCTGTAAAGATGGTCATAAACTTGGTACCTGTCTCACAGGGATCAGTGATGTAAAAGCAAGGAGAGCATCAGATGGTAGGAGGTGCTTAATGATTTGGAGCTGTCATGATGAACAGGTCCATTTAACCCAGGGATAACACCTAACCTGTATGCCCATACGAACTGTGCCAACAGGATCAGTCTTGGCACATGAGGGTACAATAGATACAGTGCCCCAACCTTCTAGTTTCAGATTTATTGATTCTCCCCTCTGAACTTCATGACAACTTATTTCTTGGGTTGCATTTGCAGCATAACCAGGATAACCAATGACAACTGGATCAGTTAAGGCCAAGTTAGTTGCTGTACAGATAGACTAAATCCCAAGGTCTTAGTGGCTTATCATATAAAAGTGTGTCATTCACATAAAGTCTACATGGCAGCAGGCTGCCAGGGAGATGCTTGTTCTATGTGCTCAGGGACCCAGGTTGATAGAGGCTCTGCCAGCTGCACCCTGGGCATCAACATTCAGCCAGCAGACATGGGAGAGAGGGTGTGGGGGCCCGTTAGGAAGGATTGCATGGGCTCAGCTTGGAAGGAACTCATCACTTATGCCCATATTCCATCATCTAGAACCAGTCACATGACCACACACAGATGCCAGGGTGCCTGGGAAATGAAGTCCTTGGATGGGCTGCTGTTTGCCAGAAATGACTACATTCTGGAAGGGGAGCATGAATCTTGTGGACAAGTGGCTGCCTCTGCCTCAGTGGCTAGCACTCCCTGAGCACCTACTATGTGCCTGCACCATGTGATGCCTTTTATGCCCATCATTCATGGATGCTCATGGCAGCTCCATGAGGGAGCATTCTTATTATCACCTCATCCTCCAGCTAAGGAGTAAGGCCCTGAGAGATGACTATTTGTTGCAGTGCTGGCTCTCAGAAGCAGCAGTTTCTCCTGTGTTCTCACTGTGCTGACAAAGTGGCTGGGGTCCACTATGGACTCTAGTTTGAAGGCTGACCATTGGTGCCATCTTACCAACACAATAGTGCTATCCTGTCAGGTTCTACGTCGCCAACCCTCAACTCTCATCAAGCTATTTGCCTTTCTAGGGCTCTAAATTAACATGGCTTTTCTCTGCTCTCTGTCCTACCCAGGATCAGGCAGACTAGCTTACCAGGTAGTGTGTTAAAGAACTACAGGACCCTACAGTTTGTGTTTGACTATTTTGATCACTGTGGAAGGGTTACCACTTGTGAAAGACAGAATGATGCTCTCCCCCCAAAGTTGTCCACATCTCAATCCCCTAGAACCTGGCAAAGGGGAATTTGAAGATGTGGTTAACTTAAGGATTTTAAAATGGGGAGATGATCCTGGATTATTGAGGTGGGTCCTTATAACAGGAAGGCAGGAGGATCAGAGTCAGAGAGGAGATGAAATGATGGAAACAGGAATTGGAATGATGCACTTTGAAGAGGGAGGAAGGGGGCTGCACCTCCTTTGCTCTAAAGTGGGTCCCTTGGTCCTGTGCAGTGTTATGCAGGATCCTGTGTGGGTGGATGAACACAGAGCAAGAACTTGAATACTAGTAGGCATTGGCTAGCCCTGTGGACAGAAAAGATAAACTCATACCTTGAGTATGTGTCAGTTTCAGTCAAGTTAAATCTGCTCCTTCCTGGGTGGAAGAAATCCAAGGCAGTTGCTTGCCACTGAGTGGCTGTTTGGTCTCCTTGAGGGAAGGGGCTCCATGTTGGTCCCTTGCTGGCAGGTTGGCTATTATGTAGCAGCAACAGCTGGGTCAGCCTCGAGGAGCAGGGTCTCTTCCATGCACACCTTCCATCCCTGCCACTGTGGCTGTTCCATTTAAGTGTCATTCTTGCAGACACTTGGGTGCTGACACCACCTTGGCTGACATCATCTGTCGTTGGCTGAGTCATTCTGTCTGCTTGGTTGTTCAGTGCCTCTTCCCGGATGGACACTGTCTGACAGATCCTATCATGCAACAGAGATATCGTCACATTTCATGCTCTTAAATTCAGCTGCATATTTCTTCCTAAGACCTCCTTGTAGGTCTTAATTTACCCTCCCAGGCTCCTGAATAGCTTGTCAAGCCATTCTCCACTGACTATAAATCCATATATATTCCACCGTTGGACCACATCTCTTTCTGCACTAAGTGGATCACCAGGTCACTGCCCAAAACTCTGCCCAAGGAAAGACCACTGTTTTTCAGGACTAACCTTGAGTGGGGCCATATGCAGTCAGGGTCAACTTGCAGCTTGCACCCACACGTCAAGCTAACCCATTTGTGGTGTTTTTCCCTCCTCTGTCAGTTGTTTATTAGGGACCCTCCATATGGACATAGAGTGAGAGCTGAGGGAGGGGTGCCAGATGGAACAATGGTGGGTGATGTGGGGGTCTGGGGTATTTGCTTGTGCAGCTTATTTGTACCCCTTGTTGCTGTTGGGCCTACCCCAACTTATGGCTTTGCAATGCTGTCCAAACTCAGCTCATGGTGGACAGCTCTGGTCCCATGAAGACTTGATGTCCCATGGCCGTGTACTCCATCTCTATCAGGGCACAGTATCATTCCAGGAGCTGTTTTGAAAGGAGTACAATTTTCCACTGCAGATGGCCTGACCTTGCTCTAGAACTTCAAAGATCCACACTGAGATTCTCCTCTAGGGGTTTGCTATGAAATCTACCAGCATTTTTCCACCATGGAGAGCTCCAGTACCAAAGGGTCTGTTGAGTTGTATGGTCCAAGCAGCTGGGTTAGAGCCTGGATCTGCTGCAGACAGATCCTGCTCTGGTCTCCACTCAAAACTAGCAGCTTTTCATGGTATTTGACATATGGGCTGGAACACATGCCTCTAGAATCTGAAGGGGCCTACCAGTTGCACTTCTCTGTCTTAGTGGTTAGAGGTATGAGATGCAATAATTTTTCCTTTACTTCAGAGGGAGTTTCTTGGAATGCCCTAGACCAAGACCAAACTGGACCCCAAAACTTCACTAATGTGCCTCCTGAATTTTCCACAATTACCTCCCACCCCCTGGAGCACATGTTGCCCCAAGACTTCCAGTGTATATACTACTTCTTGTTTGTTTAGTCTAATTAACATGATGTTATCAACCTAGCAACTAATGGAATGTTCTTCAGAATGTCTACATGGTCCATGACCTTTGGATTATATTATGACAGAGGCTGGAAGAATTAACGTAAGTAACCCTGGGGCAAGACAGCGAATGTGTGGTGTTGCTCCTTCCAAGTGAATGCAGACTGTCTCCGATCCTCCTGGCTGATAGATGGGGGGAAACACATTCACCAGTGTTCAG